CATAGGATCATTTAGGTTGGAAGGGACCTCCAAGATCATCAAGTCCAACCCTTGAGCTATTAGGGCTCTAAAGTCCTCTGCTAAAACAGATCAGAATCTGTCAGGGTTGGAAGGGACCACAAGGATCACCCAGTTCCAACCCCTCTGCCATGAGCAGGGATACCTCCCACTAGATCAGGCTGCCCAGAGCCTCATCCAGCCTGGCCTTAAAGACCCCCAGGGATGGGGCCTCAACCACCTCCCTGGGCAACCCCTTCCAGGGTCTCACCACTCTCATGGGGAAGAACTTCTTCCTCACATCCAGCCTGAATCTGCCCACTTCCAGCTTTGCCCCATTCCCTTTAGTTCTGTTGTTAGGATACTAAAATTATTTTTACTTTCCTTTTACACAACTGTTCAGATTTTGTGTGAATTACATATGGCTATGAACCCATTTAAAAAGTTTGTAGAGACTAAGCTGCCAATTATGCAATGCCTTCACTAACAATTTCTTAACGTTGAATTAAGTTTAACACTATCTCTGAATACTGTTTATCTCCCTTCAGCTTTAGAATTTCTGGTTCTTGACACATATGCCAAGACCATATGTTCATATAACTAAAGTGGTCACTAGCAATGACCAACCAAGATGTACCAAGAGTTACCACACATCTACCAGAGCTGTTTCCTATGTGAAACAGCAGTGAAAACTATTATTTCTCATACTGCTGGCATGTCACTGTTAGCAAATTTTCAAATTATTTTTCAGCTGGTCCACACATGCATGCACTCACATAGATAACAGTGACAACATTATTATAATATTAATACCAGTATTGATAATATTAATAATAGGTCTAGAACAGCAATCTTTCATAAGTGTTCTTTCTGGAAGAGATGTGCATTACTTTCTATTTCACATAATTTCATTACATTGTTTGTATATTTGACTTTCAAAACAAACACTGTAGCACCCACACACAGACTTATTTCACTGTTTTTTCAGTAATTACAACAACTTCTAAAAGACCTTTGAAAATTCCTTAATAAAATACCCACAGTTAGCTTAAAGCTTTTAACTCATCCAGCAGCTTGGATGTGTTGCAGTGTTAGATATATGATGCTACTCATGACACTCTGAACTGCTATGAGGAAGCTTTTTAACTTTTTCAATGTATTTATTATATAAATAAATTTCCACATTTGATAGTCTTGTAGTGATGCAAAGCAGTGCCAAAGAAATCCAAGCGTTAGATGTGTTCTCACAGCGACTGCTGCCCTGGATTTTGTTTCAAGGAAGGTAGGTCAAACAGTTAGCAGATTTCTCATGTAATAAAGTTCTAGAGAGACTTGTAAAAGAACATACAGAAATGCCCAAGCATTCTAAAATTTATTTATTTTTTTGCCATAATAAACAAGACTATTCTTGTCATTTCCTAGCATCTGCTTGTTGAATAACCTTGGAGTACTTCATCTCATTGAAAATCTATCTTCCCTCTATGTTCCCAGGCTTCAGTTCCTATCTCAGCATGAGAACTTCTTAGACACTGAATGTTTCTAAATTTTACCTTTCAGTTAGCTACCAGGCTTGAGTGTTTCAATCAGTGTGAGAAGAATAGTCCCTGGGCAGCTACATTCAGAAGCACAAATTCAAAGTCTTCAGTCCACAGATGCACAGAATATTTTGATGTGCTGCCGGGTGAGGAAGTATGCCTTTGCCTGAAGTGAAAAAAAAAAAAATGCACCTCTCTAGCACTCAACGATTTTACTGCTGCTGTTTCAGTTTGCTAAGAAATGAGTGGTTTATTTCTCAACACCTGCTGAGTAAGCCCGTGTTAAGCAAACCACGCAGAAAACTGCAAACCTCTCTGAATTAGACAGTTCTGTTGTCAGCTATGAGCCTGTAAGTCTACTAATTCAAGAGCTCAAGGTATCTGGAAGGAAAAATAACCAATTTCTGATAAAAATGAACACCGCACTATTTCTCTTACTGCTGTGGCTGCTGAATTAAGGGGCAGATGAAGATCTCTTCCTGTTTCTTCCCTAGGAGCTTAACTGTAAACAGCTAAGTGGTTACTGAGCTCTGAAGACGAATTAATGCATCAGAAAGCACCTTAATGAAGTAAACAGTGTTATCCTTAAGAAGACATGAAAGCTCAACATACTATCAGCTATATTTTTATATTATTGAAGTTCCAGTGACACTTCTCATGGTTTAAACAGTCTTAAAGTTACCATTTCCCCTGCTATGGTTGTATCTACCTGATGTGAAAGCAGCTGACTGAGTTCCAGCAGAACTATGTAAGATATGCACCCATTGACATAACCAGTCCAATGGTAAAAAATCTGACTGCTCCCTGCACAGTTCATCAAGCATGTCACTGTAAAGAGCACCACAAATGCCTCCTAGGCCAACTCTAGGGGAAACAGGAAAAAGCTCGGGAATTATTTATATTTAAAGCTGTAGGAATGCTTACAGAAGACGAAAAAGAGACCATGGTCTGTAACAGAGAATGAAAATGTCAAGCTTGCTAAAAAAAAACCCACACTCCCTCACTCCAACGCTAAGGGATTCATTTCTCCAAAGAAAAATTAGCTTCCATTTTTTTTCCCCTAAAGAGAAGGACTTTGACCACATAGAAGCCAATGTATGCAAGAGCTAAACTGGAAAAACTGCAAGCTTTAATGCATGATCAGCATCATGACTCAGGTGATATAGTATTGATTTGGCAAGAAGAAGTTAACAGAAAAACTAATATTTTAGAAAAAAAAAAGTCATTAAAAGAAAGGTTTGCTGCTTTGTTTCAGATTACATCTCCACCTGCCCCAGTGTCTAAAAGTATGAAAAGAAATTAGCAAATTTACAGAGTAATAAAAAGGAAAGGTAGTGTGATAATGCTGTCCTGGTAATATACAACAACTATGTTCACAAAATTTATGAAACTTTTCCTGTGCTATAGAAAGAAGCATTCAGAAAAGATGAGCTTGTGATAAAGGGAATCTTTGGCTCCACAAACTTCTGTAACAAGCTTTTTTTCTGACAAATGGCAACAAAAGCAACAAGGTAAATGACCCTCTAGATGTGATCCCAAGAAACCGGAATATGAGGCTGAAAATGTGAAGACATGTGGCAATTTATGTGGGAGTGACTGTGAAACAGGGAAAAAAAAGGACTAAGGGAAGGAAGAAGATTTCAAGAAATTAGACATCAATAGACTCAAAGTATTTTAGCGAAGACCTTATAGGAATTAGCTGGAAATATTTAAAGCACTTAATGGTTCCTGACAATTTAGATTGAAACATGGAAAATGTATGAAGGTTGTATCTACATTAGCAATCAGTGTGGTACAATTATGGCAAATCAGTAAAGTGAGACAGTACTGCAGAAGCATACCAATCCTGCACTCAATCCTGGGGTTTTACTTCAGACTTGCTTTAAAAAAGTCAAAAAATGGATGAGTACTGATGGAGACGACCTAGATAGGCAACGAAATTCCTCTCAGGAATTACACATCTCTAAGTGATCCTTCTTTGACCATGACATTTAAGCTTCATTTTTATCATTCTATAAATAATGATAAAGCCAAAAAAAGGCTCAGCAAAACCATTGCTTTTTTTCAAATGAGGATTTTTGAAAAGAAACACCTTTTTGTTAGAAGTTTTTGACTGGCTCTAATCCTCGTAAGACAGTGGCTGTTACTCACTATCCTAAATGACATATTCGCACTCAAAAAACCAAAAGATCATGAGGTCAAGTACACACAGACAGCATCAGACACAAAACAGTATTACCAAAGTAAAAGAAATTCCTTCCGCTGCTTAGCTACAAAACAAAGCACCACCACTGCCCCTACAAAAACTGACAGTTACAGATCCCAAAAGTTATTAACACAGGTGGTTTACCTGTATTTTCACCACTTTGGTAAGTCAGTGTAATGGCTGCAGATGGCCCAGCTTTGGCAGTGGGGCTGCAGGGGATCTGTGAAGAAGAAGTCAGGACACCCCTGGACACCAATGTACAGGCCACTGCCAAGCCCCTCAGCCACACGTGTGGTGCCTCTGCCTCCATGAAAAAATCCTTTAGAAAATGAAGAAAAATGCAAGGAGCAGCTGTGAAAAAAGAAACAAACACAAACCAGAAGCAGCAGCGCAAACACCAAGGGCAGAGGAGGTGGGGAGAAAGTGCTCCAGGCACCAGAGCAGAGTCCATCACAATGCATACGGGACCCCAGTGCAGTAGGTGCCCACACCGCAGCCCTCCAAGTAGCTGTGTATTTCATGAAGGATATTCCCTGTGAAAAGCCCATGTTGTAGCAGAGAACAGTGTGAAGAGGAGGGAGTGGCAGAAAGAAGCTGTTGCAGACTCACTGCAGTCCCTGTCCCTCACCCATGCTACCCCTTGCAGCTTGGTGGGTAGACGAGATTAGTATTAAGAAGTGAAGTTGAACCTGTGAAAATCAACAGTGTGGGTGTATGAGGTGAAGGCGTTTTTTTTATGGATTTGTCTTTACTTCTTACTGTCCAACTCAACTTCAAATGACAACAAATTAAATTACTTTTACCCAAGTGGAGCCTGTTTTGCCCACGATAGTTCATGTACGTGATCTCCGTGTCATCATCTTGTCCCACAAACTTTTCCATTCTGTTTCCTCTCTCCATTCTGTTAAGGTGGAGGGGTGTGACAGTGATTTTGTGGGCCAAGGTTAACCTACCACAGTCACTTAGTACTGCTTATCAGTTCTAAAAAAATAATCTTTTTTGGTATTGAGTTTCTCTAATGATCACTTTAGAATTAAACCTAGCATTTGATCAAAATAGTTTCCCATCTTTCGTTACAGTGGAAACCTAATCTTGGAGGCACTTACTACATGAATTATTATGTCATGCATATCATGCTGGATTGGGCTCTCTCAGTATGAAAGAGCAACCTATTAGGGCATACTCTCATTTCAGATTCGTTCAAGGGAATCATGTAGTAACACTGGTGGCAAAGAGCAATACCACAGAAAATAAGCACTCACAGAAATTTTCCATTGTTTCTTGACCCAATGAGGATACGGTGTTCTGACTCCTCCCGAGAGATCCTCCCATGAAACCATGGCATCTTCTCATGGGCGGTAGTGGCAATCAGCTTTTCCAGCTGAGGCTTTTGACTAATGATAGCTTGTTCAAGAGCATGCCCCTAGAGAGTGGTAAAAACACAGCAGGACAGTCAAACTGTCTTCTGCAATAAAAACATGACAGGTAGACTCCCAGTATTGGATTGCTTTTGGGACATCCAAAATCAGCACATTTTTGTTGTACATCAAGAAAAGATCTGGTTGTTTTAAAGGTATTAAAACAGGAAATAGCATATGGTAATCTAACCATCACTAAGGTAGGATTCTTCCTTTACCTCTGAAAATCAGAAGAAAAAACTAACCAGTAATTTAAGCCTTTAGTGTATCAGAATTTCAACTGAAAATTGCATCATATTTATATGCTAACGATACACAGTTAAATATACTTACTGTCACTCTTAGATGTCATAACATATCTCCATACTACATATCCTATGGCAGTTTACTGAAATAAATGGAACACACTTTGCATTGTTGCACCATGTCTGTGTTGAAGACATTGATGCCAATTTGCAAATAGTAGATAGGATAGTCTTAATTTTAGAGTGAACTACGTTAATATTTTAAGTATAACCTATACAGTTCTAAACCCATCTACAACCTATTACTTCTATCTTATGCCTAGAATCTGAGGGTAAAGCCCTTCAGTTTCATCAGCTTTCAACTTGTGTTCCCCAACGTCCTTCTAAATTTGGCCCAGACTCATCAGAAAAAAAACTTTAAGCCTCAGTACTTTGGCCTTTTCAAGCAATTGCTAGGGGAAGCCCCATGGGACAGGGAACTGGAAGGTAAAGGGGCCCAAGAGAGTTGGTTAGTATTCAAGGACCCTTTCTTCCAGGCTCAGTATCAGTGCATCCTGTCAGGCAGGAAATCAAGAAAGGGTTCCAGGAGGCCTGCATGGTTAACCAGCAATCTGCTGGGCAGACTTAGGTGGAAGGGAAGGGTATATAAATTGTGGAAGGGAGGGCTGACCACTTGGGTGGAGTATAGGGCTGGTGTCAGAGAATGTAGGGAGGCAACTAGAAAAGCTAAGGCCTCCTTGGAATTAAAACTTGTGAGGGAGGTCAAGGACAACAGAAAGGGCTTCTTCAAATACATTGCTGACAAAACTAATACTAGAGGCAATGTAGGCCCTCCGGTGAATGAGATGGGTGCCCTGGAGACAAGGGACAAACAGAAGGAAGAGTTACTGCATGCCTTCTTTGCCTCTGACTACACTGTTGGAGAATGTCCTCAGGAGCCTCAGTCCCCTGAGGCCTCAGAGGAGGTCAAGCTAAAGGAGGAGTTTGCCCTGGTTGAGGAGGACTGGGTTAGGGATCAGTCTGAATGCTTGAACTTCCATAAATCCATGGGCCCTGATGGGATGCACCCACGAATGCTTAGGGAGCTGGCAGAAGTCATTGCTAGGCCACTCTCCATCATCTTTAGTAAGTTGTGGAGAACAGGAGAGGTACTTGAGGACTGGAGAAAAGCAAATAAAGGAAGATCCGGGTAACTACAGACGGTCAGCCTCACCTCCATCCCTGGAAAGGTGATGGAACAACTTATCCTTAGTGTTGCCTCTAGGCATATCAAGGATAAGAAGGTCATTAGGTACAGTCAGCATGGCTTTACCAAGGGTCACGTTTGACCAACCTGATAGCCTTTTTTGAAGACATTACCAGTTGGATGGATGGCGGCCATGCAGTGGATGTGGTCTATCTGGATTTCAGCAAGGTATTTGACACCATCTCCCACAGCATCCTCACAGGTAAACTGAGGAAGTGTGGTCTGGATGACCAAGTAGTGAGGTGGGTTGCTAACTGGTTGAAGGGAAGAAGTCAGAGAGTTGTAGTCAATGGGGCAGAGTCTAGTTGGAGGCCTGTGTCTAGGGGAGGCCCTCAAGGGTCCGT